ATTAAACGGTGGAGATGTCAGTTGGTGTAGTTCTAAACAAAGCGTCGTGGCGGGATCTACATGTGAAGCGGAGTACATAGCTGCTTCGGAAGCAGCAAATAAAGGAATCTGGATGAAGGAGTTCATATCCGATCTAGGTGTCCTACCTAGTGCATCGGGTCCAATGAAAATCTTTTGTGATAATACTGGAGCAATTGCCTTAGCGAAGGAATCCAGATTTCACAAGAGAACCAAGCACATCAAGATACGCTTCAATTCCATCCGGGATTTAGTCCAGGTGGGAGACATAGAAATTTGCAAGATACATACGGATCTAAATGTTGCAGACCCGTTGACTAATCCTCTTCTACGAGCAAAACATGATCAGCACCAAGGCTCCATGGGTGTTAGGATCATCACAGTGTAATCTAGATTATTGACTCTAGTGCAAGTGGGAGACTGAAGGAAATATGCCCTAGAGGCAATAATAAAGTTGTTATTTATTTCCTTATATCATGATAAATATTTATTATTCATGCTAGAATTGTATTAACCGGAAACATAATACATGTGTGAATACATAGACAAACAGAGTGTCACTAGTATGCCTCTACTTGACTAGCTCGTTGATCGAAGATGGTTATGTTTCCTAACCATAGACATGAGTTGTCATTTGATTAACGGTATCACATCATTAGGAGAATGATGTGATTGACTTGACCCATTCCGTTAGCTTAGCACTTGATCGTTTAGTTTGTTGCTATTGCTTTCTTCATAACTTATACATGTTCCTATGACTATGAGATTATGCAACTCCCATTTATCGGAGGAACACTTTGTGTGCTACCAAACGTCACAACATAACTGGGTGATTATAAAGGTGCTCTGCAGGTGTCTCCAAAGGTACTTGTTGGGTTGGCGTATTTCGAGATTAGGATTTGTCACTCCGATTGTCGGAGAGGTATCTCTGGGCCCTCTCGGTAATGCACATCACTTAAGCCTTGCAAGCATTGCAACTAAATGAGTTAGTTGCAATATGATGTATTACGGAATGAGTAAAGAGACTTACCGGTAACGAGATTGAACTAGGTATTGAGATACCGACGATCGAATCTCGGGCAAGTAACATACCGATGACAAAGGGAACAATGTATGTTGTTATGCGGTCTGACCGATAAAGATCTTCGTAGAATATGTGGGAGCCAATATGAGCATCTAGGTTCCGCTATTGGTTATTGACCGGAGACATGTCTCGGTCATGTCTACATAGTTCTCGAACCCGTAGGGTCCGCACGCTTAACGTTTCGATGCTGGTTATATTATGAGTTTATGAGTTTTGATGTACCGAAGGTTGTTCGGAGTCCCGAATGTGATCACGAACATGACGAGGAGTCTCGAAATGGTCGAGACATGAAGATTGATATATTGGACGACTATATTCGGACACCGGAATGGTTCCGGGGGTTATCGGATATATACCGGAGTACTGGGGGGTTACCGGAACCCCCCCGGGGGTTATTGGGCCTCATGGGCCCAAAGTAGTGGAAGAGGAGAGGCAGCAGGAGGTGGCGCGCAGTCCCCCTTGCCCCAATCCGAATTGGGAAAGGGAAGCGGGCGCGGCCCCCCTTCTCCTTCCTTCTCTCCACCTCCTCCTTCCCCCTTCTCCTAGTTGGAATAGGAAAGGGGGGCAAAACCTACTTGGAGTAGGATTGCCCCCCCTTGGGCGCGCCTCCTCCTCTTGGCCGGCCTCTCCTCCTCCACTCCTTTATATACGTGGCCAGGGGGCACCCCATAGACACACAATTGATCTCTTAGCCGTGTGCGGTGCCCCCTTCCACCATAATCCACCTCGATCATATCGTAGCGGTGCTTAGGCGAAGCCCTGCGATGGTAGAACATCATCATCGTCACCACGCCGTCGTGCTGACGGAACTCTCCCGTGAAGCTCTACTGGATTGGAATTCGCGGGACGTCATCGAGCTGAACGTGTGCTAAACCCGGAGGTGCCGTGCGTTCGGTACTTGGATCGGTCGGATCGTGAAGACGTACGACTACATCAACCGCGTTGTGCTAACGCTTCCGCTTTCGGTCTACGAGGGTACGTAGACAACACTCTCCCCTCTCGTTGCTATGCATCACCATGATCTTGCGTGTGCGTAGGATTTTTTTTAAATTACTACGTTCCCCAACAACATCATCCCTTTCTCTTTGGGGAAATACCGACGTAGCTTCAAGCGACATCAGTCCTCTCCTGGGTGCCTCGCCTTCTGGTTGTGCTGCTCATCCTGAGCAATGCACGGGTCTGTGGTCATCGATGCCGACGGGGCTTGACCTGCGGATGCTGGCTGGGCTTGATCTGTGGCGTGGTGATTGTTGTCGCCATCGTGCAATGATACCCGTCGTTCTGATCTGGCCAGACACGGGTGTGTTTCCGAACCGGTCGTCCCATCACCCAGATTCGCCCGTGGAGATGACCACTCCGGCTTGCGGCGATAGTCTTGTTGCAGATTGCGATGGCCACTGAAAGGTCTTCAGAAGGGTTTTCCTTCAGATCCGGTGGTTGACTTCGGCAGCAAGATGCAAACTATGGACAACAGTTTGACGCATAGGGATGATTGTGCAACAACAGTGGTCGCACATCACACGTAGTTGCTGGGTTCGCGGAAAAGTGGTGGCGACAACACATGAGTGACATCGATAGTGGTGCTAATCGAGCACCCCGATCGCGAGCTCCGGGGTGAAAGCCTAGGTCTGATCCAAGTTGGTTATACCTGGCAATGGCGATGTTTTTAACATGGTTACCTTGCTGGAGGCATTGCTCGGATATGCTCGGACTAATTCTTCAGGGTGAAAACCTAGATTCTAGCCTTTGGTGGTTGGATCCGGCGACGACGGCGTTTGAGCGCTGCTCCTATCCTGAAGGCGTTGCTGTTAAAGAAACTCGTCGATTGTGTGATGTCATGAGATGATTGGTGCGGATATGGTCATTGTTGTAGTTTGCCAATCATGAATCTGATCATTTTGGGGGTTTTTTCCTCGCCTGCTCATAGCTTTGGTCTTATATGACTTTGCTATTGGTCGGTGTGTTTTCTTGTGTGCGTGTGTTCGTGTTGCCTGTGTGCATCCTAACTATGCAGATGCCAGGTGTGTGCTCATGGTGTTTTGCATCGTCTTGATGCTTCATTTTGAGCTAATAAAATCCATTTTTTGTCGAAAAAATATAGTGCTAATCACATAATAACACATAAATAATATCCTACTTAATATCCGCATGAATTTAATATACTTTCAAATTAACGTGCATTGCACGTACACATTAATTAGTTTTTTAAGTAGGAGAGATTGCTAACATCGGGTGCATTGGTTTCACAAAAACTACTGGTGCATAGGATACATTGCTTGTAGTTTAGACATCGACACCGGTTTAAAAAAAAAGGTACGACCAGGAGAATTGCTGCTTCAGTAGGTGAGTTCTTTGGCACCAACCTCGTAAGGAACATGATTTGCCGCTTCAGTAGGTGCCCCCTGCAAAAGGCATTTGGATGTGAGCTGTAGTTAGATTAGTTTTTTTAGGGTGTAGCTTCTTTGGATTGGAGGATTTTCATAGAATTCTCACGGGATATCAATCCTCGGGATTGTTTTCTATGGAATGTATTTGGATCACAGGATTTGGTCATTGAAATTCCTTAGGATTTGGTCGCCAAGGTGCTGATTGCAGAGGAATTCATGCATGAGGTCCAACCTCTGGGAAAATTCCATAGAATTGGCTATGTCATGGCAACTAAATCCTCCATTTTTCCTATACCTTTGTTTTGCAAATCCTGTGATCCAAAGAAGCCATTACATTAGCTGGATCAGCTCTATGGGTAAACGAAGCTTGCAGAAACTGGGAGTTCTGAAGAGGGTCCAGAACACCCCACAATGAGCTCAGAGAACAAATGCAATGTGATAATAATATTTGATGGGGACTGATGTCATAAATATCAAATAGTTACCCTACAGACTGCCCATGATTGCACCTATGAGTACATAGCAGAATATCCTGAAATAAAACGGCTACCTGAACAACATTTGAGAGGATAAGTCGTCTGCATGATTGGATTAAACATATATACTGGTGCCAATACACGTCTCCAGCTACCGAACACTGATTCCCGGTATCTTGCAAATTGCCAGCTTACTACAGAATTGCGCGTTCCTTCATTTTGCTAGATTTAGTGGTTGCCATGTTAAGCCTCTTTGGTCAAACGCTTGCCTTATTAGTGGCTGCCATGTACTCCCTCCATTCCAAATTAGTTGACTTGAATTTATCTAAATATGAATGCATCTATACTTATTTAGTGTCTAGATGCATCCGTGTCTAGATAAATATGGGTCAAGTAATTTAGAACGAAGGGAGTAGAGAAACTGCTGTTTTGGAACCTGCAACACACCAACAATGGAGTGGCGTCAGCGTCACTGCAAATGCAAAAACTCTATAAAAAATGCTTGCAAATGCTCACCGGTATGACCACCCAGCCTCCGTCCATTTCTTTTTTACCATCGTTTATCGTGGTCATCAGTTCTGTATGCACAGGCATATTACTTCTGGCCATGCTGAAACTGTGAAACGGAGGACTGTTTTGGTGAATGGAGACTGGAAAATGCTAGCAGCTCTGCCTCGTTTCCGATGTGCTCCTCTTATAGCTATGGCGGTTGTAACATCATATTGTTCTAGCTCAATGGACAGTGCCGCGTTACGTGCGACTGTAACTCCGTTGAAAGCATAGCGTGGGAACATGTAACCGCGGATAAAACGGGGGGAAATGGCAATAGGTCTCATGCCACATTGATACTGCTCGGCCGCTCTGTTAAATGCTCGAAATTAACCATCAAATCATCTCATACACCACATATAGTACATCGAAGCACAACAACACCAAAATGAATGAAAATATTCATGTCAAGGAAAAACTCAACCCCGTGGCTCAAGGAAACAGCGACAGCAACGAGCAGCAGGAACGTGGGTCGTTCGCGTGTCATCAGTCGCGGCACTGCGTGATGGCGGAGCAGCCGCGCTCGTAGGGGTTGGCCTCCGCGCTGGGGCGGCAGTTGTAGTAGGACGCGCCGGAGTAGGGGCACGGCACCGTGTCGGCGAACAGCGCGCCGTAGCTGATGTACCCCGCCGTGCCGTTGGTGTCGGTGCTGTTGCTGCCGGCGACCTGCAGCAGCCGCCTCCTCGTGCCGACCTCGCCGTCCTCGGCGCTCGCGCGGACGATGGGTGCTGCCGACACGGCGGCGACGGCCAGGACGAGGAGGAGCAGAGGCAGAGCACGGGGTGCCATGGCTGCCCTGGTCGCAGCGCGTTGCCGGTGAGCGAGGATGCTCTGGGTTTGGGAGACGGCTGAATGCTGATGGCCGGGGAGTTTGTGTTGTGACCGGGGCTTTAAACAGCACGGGTAGGAGGGGCAGGGTTCGTCGGAATGACGGGTGGGTGGCCACTCCGCCGGTTGACTTTGGGGCTCGCGTTAGGACTGGGGATCCACTACCATTTCCGCAGCTGGAGGAGACTTTGCCCGGCCTGCAGGTGCCAGCCGGAACACAAATCAAGATACTAATTGGCTAGTTTATTCATCTCTTTTACTGCCTCGCCGGAACACGAATCAAGATACTGGCTTGGATAGTTTATTCATCTCTAATTGGCTAGTTTATTCATCTCACAATGAAGAGTAACATAAGGTAGTAACTTGCCGATGTTACTAGTCTATATTACTACTTTCATAGTGGGTAGTAACATATAAGTGGTGTCATGCAGACGTATCATTGCCTTCGATTCTACTAAGGAGTGCACTACCATCTATTAAGTTTCTTTCTATTAATAAATCAATGTATTGGCCTTCCCAAAACCAAAATGAGCACCCACCGCCCTACACAAAAGAATGACCATGTTCAAAATGAGGATCCGCAATTGAACTAAAGAATAAGCTATCAAATGAGCTACCGCAAATTCACGTACCCCGTCGTTTTCGCATTTGAAGAACACCCATCCGGGGTGCTTCAGCGTGCCCGAAGTTAGCCGCAGCACTGTCCGCGTGCAGTCATCACACTATATGAGCGACACCGGCAAGCTACAGAGACGTTGCGCGAGCGCCGAGCCCGGTGGACGGCCGGACGAATCCATGCTTGCAAACCGTTCGCGGCGGCGGGCGGACGAACCCGAACCTGCATGCGGCGATGCGCCCTTGCCGGGGCTGCGGGAGAGGCTCCCCGACCACTCCATCGCTTGACGCAGCAACAGGAGGCCAGAAAAGCCAAATTCGGCGGCCCGCGATGAAGTGCCGCAGATCCGCAAATCCGGCGGCCCGCCAACGCATGGGGGGAGGGAGGGAAGGTCTCGTGCGCGTGGAGGCCTTTCGGCGTGCTCCTGCCGGCGGCTTTCGCTGGAATCTTGGGCGGCGGCCCGACGGCGGCGCGAGGGGGGAGGAAAGGTGGTTGGTGGGGAAAGCGCGGGCTGAAATG